ACTGTGGGGAATACACCAACCCTGGGTGCAGGGGAACCTGGAGGTGAGCTGCCATGTTGTGCCAGGTGGGCTGCTACAGGGGATGTCAGGTGGCTGACCCCTTTTGGGGGGGTGATTGGTGGAGGTGGGAGGCGGGGTAGGAAAGGGGCTTGCCTGGGAGGCTTGCCCACCATGCATTGTGGGGTGCAGTGTGCCAGTAGATTCTCATTGTGTGAACACCCCCTCCTTGCTCTGGCTCTGGGAAGCAGATTGGAGACCACAGAAGCCCTCTGGTACCACTGGGTGCAGATGCCTTTAGGGATTTGTGAATAATAGGGTGGGGGGCACTTGCCCCTCCATCAGGAGCCCCCACCTTGTCCTGCCCCCTCCAGCACAGCTCCAGATGTGCTCACTGGGATGGCAGAGTGGGGAGCACGCCATCTGCACCCCCTGCCTCCGTCACTCCCTCCCTCCCTCCCTGGAAGATACTGTGTTGTCATAAAAAATGATAAAAGATTGACCAAGGTGATCTTTATTCTGTTCCTTTATTTGTTCTTTATAACAAAGGAGATGGCACGCAGCAATCACTCGCTCACCCACTCACTGGTAACGGTGACTTCTATGATGCCGTGTCTGGCTCCCCCTGCCACCGACTCCACTGAACCACAGCTAAGCATGAAACTGCCATGAAGCCATGGCCCGTGTGTTCATATAAAGCGTGTTATCCTAAAGGGCTTTAAATAAAGCACTAAAGGTGTGTATAGACACCCCCAGTACCTATTTCAGCAAGTCCTAAGAGCCTGTGTGGTAACCGTGAGTACCGCCCAGTCCAGGTGGCACACGGGTTGTTCCCACTGAAGCTACTTCCCCATCATTTTTCACTACAGTGATGCAGCACCTCATGTGCATGCACCCACTGTGCGGGAAATCCACCGTGTGTCTTTACAGGTAGTAAAACAAAGGTTCTCAGAAGCAAAACATTTCTTCCAAAATGTACTCTGTCTTCAACATCGGATAGAACAAAACTCATATTGGAGGTACTAAACATAATGTGCATCAGGAAAAGTGCATTAATGCACGTGTAGGCATTCTCACATCTTGGTCTGGGAGCTGTTTCCACCTGCGGCTGGGCTAGTCTTCACCTTGCACCGCCATCTCTCTTAATGGCATTTAAGGGAGCCCGCCCCTGCCCCAGCCCTGGCAAAATCTGTGGGCAAGGAAGGAGCCCCCCAGGGGGCACTTGCCTGCCTGTACACTAATGCCAGGAGCTTGGGGAATAAGCAGGAGGAGCTCATCCTCCTGCTCAGTGCAAACAATTACGATGTCATAGGGATAACAGAGACCTGGTGGGACTCCACCCATGACTGGACCACGGGGATAGATGGCTATACCCTGTACAGGAGGGATCGTGTAGAGAAAAGGGGCGGGGGGGGTAGCTCTCTATGTTAAGGAAAGCTACACGTCCCTGCAAGCTGATATTGGCGACCAGGGTGGACGGCTGGAGACCCTCTGGGTTAAAATCCGTGGGGAACACGGCACAGGGG